GTCCTAACACCCCTGCCATGGGCAGGGATACCTTCCATGAGAAGCATTTTCTGTCACACCTTTCCTCTTTAAGGAGGATGACTTCTCACACTGTTCTGTACTTCAGCATGTGTCCTTTCCATGGAGTGCAGTCCAGCTACTCAATGGTCTAGCACGGGTCTTCATGGGGGTCATTACTACATGATCTACTTTAATTCATAGATAAAGTGGTTCTCTCTTTCCTGTGACTAACAGAAGAAGTGTCATGCAGTCTGAAGTCACCATATTTCAGAACTATATCTACAGAAAATATATAGTGAGAGAGTACCCATTGAAATTATCTATTACTTGGCTTGCAAAAGGAATCAACAGAAAAACCTCTTGGGTTCAAAAAGTAATTAGCAGAAATCCAAAAAAGCAGCATATATGTACAGGCTTTTTCTATTAAAGTGAAGCAAATTATGATCAAGAATGATGACTCTGCTCTCAAAGGAGAAGAATCATAGCAAATGTGAATTACCAAGTCTAAGAAAGCTTTATCAAAGAGTGCACTCTTGAAACTTGTAATGTGAGTATCACAGAATACTTCTGATTCAGTATTTCTTAACCTCTGTAACTTTGCATAATTGTGAAATATTTTACACCATCGGAAGTCTTCAATAAAATAAAAAGCCCCAATTCCTTTGAAAAGGAAGTTGTGAATATGTGTAGCAATGCATACACAATTCTTCACAATTCATAAAGTTATGCTACCTATCATTGTAACTGTTACAGTGAAAATACTTCTGTGCAAACTCACAGGGTTGTTATTATGATAAAATATTATGATTTCATATATTATATATTCAATTATATTATATTATATTATGATTAGGATATTATGATAAAACAAACTTACAGTTTAAACCAGCTAAGTTAAATTAAATAACCAGCAGACCTCAGAACTTAAATATATGTACAAAAATAAACAGACATAAACAGATTTGTCTTCTAAAAGAGAATTTACTAAAATGGTCATATTTTCCCCAAATTTTAGCTGTTTTCATCTATCAGTATTAATTTCTCTGGAAATAATTTTAAAAGGAAGATTCAAAACAAATAAAAGTGAAAACTCAATTCCAGCTGTGGAAGGGATAAATCATTATTCTCAGAGGAAAAGGAAAAAATCGACAAAACTGAAAGCTGAATATATGTGTTCTTCCTTAGGTGTGTCATGGAAGAAATAGTCAACATTATATCAAAGAAATTGCATTTCTTTTGTTCTTCAAAACTCCTGCTAATGAATAAGATTGATATGCATTTCTCCATTAGTTAGATGACTTGAGTTTTCAATGAAATTATCAACCATGGGAAACTTGTTATTCAAACTGTGAATTGCTATCCTTTTCCCTCTCTTAACTCCTCCCTTTTATTCTCTTTATCTTATTCCTCTCCTTTTAAATGAAAAACCATTAGTAATGTCCTGGAGAGAGTGCACAGCATAAAAACTTTTGTGATACAAAACTATGAATTTAGTTAAATCCAGAAACTACTAGTTGAAAGGATCAGTATACATAGCTCCAAATAGATAAATATAATTACAATAGGAGATTCTTCACAAACAAAATACAGGTGATGATATCTAGAATTACAAGGAAGAATACAAATACAAATTACGAGGAAGAATGAAAAGCAATACCTCTAATAAAGTAGTATTTAAAGACATAAGGTTTTCTAGAACTTCTTGACCAAAATTTAACATATATTTTTTCTGATGATTTACTGTATACCTCCTGAGGTCTGAAAGAAGGTAAGTGAAAAGAATCATCATTCCAGAGGAAAAAGAAAATCTGGTCACTTAATATACAAAGAGATTTGAGGCCTCTTCTCATTTTAAAGGTAAAAAAAGAACCATGCAAAAGATTGGGCTTGGAAGTCTGAACTTTACTGCATCTGAAACTAAATCCTAAGGAACAGGAACACAATAAAAAGACTGAAGAATATAAAAGGACACAACATGTGTTGTTCAAACACTCCTATATTTATGGTAAAATTGAAGAAAATAAAAAATTGAGTTGAATTTATTTCTTTCCAAGATTAAACTAATCATTCTCAATGGGAATTATTTCTCTGCAAAAACATGTGTTTTACCACTAATTACAATTATTTCACTTGAGATTTATATCTTGACCAGAACTGTACCAATTCCTAAAACAGATGTAAATATTAATTCTACTAGGGTCTGACTGAAAACATCCTACAGTAGGTATCAAGACAGGGCAGAAAATACTTATAATTAACTTTAAAATACAGTGACACTAATATCACAGAAATCAGAATGTATTATTGAAATAAGAAAAACTCTACTGTATAGCTAACAATACTTAACAATACTTTATCTGTAGTGACAGAAGTCCTAGGAATTAGAAGTAATGGAGTTAGTCTTTCAGAAACTCCTCTAGTAATTAAAGGATTTTAAGCAATAAATAAAATCCACATAAAATATAAACTTCCTACAGTTATGAAACAGCAAGTAAGCCGTACATTTAGGCCACCAGTACAACAAGGAAACTAGAACACTGAGACAAACACATATTGCATGAGGGAAGACTACAGTCACCATGATTCCTTCTAAACCAATACCCACTATACAGAAAAGAGAAAACAAATATTTAATATTTACTAGCAGCTTAGGGAGAGAGGTTAATCTCACCTAAATTAAGATTTTTTCATGCAAATTCAGGACCAACACACAATGAAGCATTTTATTGGTGGGGGAAGGTGAAACATGGTTCTTTTCAACCTAAGCAAGACACCTTGGTGTCTTGGTCAGAGGAACCAGCCTTAGAAAAAACTACCTTCTCCACAGACTGTTAAGATAGTTGTGATAACTAGATCATTTGCAGGTATGTAGATAGTATTCTTTCACCTCAGTTGTTAAAAATTTTACAATGGATGAAAAAACTGTTATAGCTGCACAGTGACAGGAGTTTCAGAACCTTAAGATAGGCCATAAGGAAATAAAGATAATTCAAAACTAACTTCTGAAAAGAAAAATAGAAAGGAAGTCGTGAATTTGCAGACAAGGAAAGTATCTTAAGTCTAATAGAAGTAATTACAAAGTGAAAATCCACACATCTAGTGAAGATTTCCACACAGAGCCCCCAGAACTGGACATCTTCCATCATTTTTAAGCAGAGTAGGATTAAAACTCGAAAGTTACTTCTGGTAAGTAGCCTTGTAACAGGCCAGCAACTCAGTTAAAAATAGGACAGAAATAACACAGTAGCACAGTAGATATTATAAAATGCTGGATGTTCTTGCCTTAATGAACTTGAGCATGTCATTTAAGAAGTCAGCATAAAGAGAAAACAGTCAGAAAAAAATCTATAAAATAAATAGGGATTTAAGAGTTTCACTCCAAGACCACATCTGTGTATTAGTTTAGAAAAGAGAAAATATCTTCCCCTAGAAGCAGAACTTCTAAATAAAGATACATAAAAAAGATCAGTAGACTGCCTTGAATTTGATGGTTTTCATCCTTGAATTATTCATTACTGCCTGCAAGCCATACCTTCAATCTGCCTTGCAATCATTAAAATAATATTTTTTTATTAAGTTTGGGATTATGGAATTGGAATTCCATCTTTTAGCTCCTAAAGATCTAACAATCCCCTTATCCAATGTCTGCATCAGCATTTAACTATTTTTCAGAACTTTCATTTGATATTTCATCAGTGGCAATATTCAAGCAATAACAATCTGCATCACTGTTTGCAATACCAGTATCGGATTTCAAAAAGAGCCATCATGGAAGAAACCAAGCTACCTCTCATATATTTTGCCAGTCTGTCTTAAGATGAGCAAAGACAATATTGTAGTATCTTATGCACATTTAACATTTGGAAAATTGATTGATTTTCTTACTCCCCACAGCCATATGGATTAGAAACGCATTTATTTCTCTTTGTTATGAAAACACAATCTGAAGCAGAAGTATGTAGCAAATTTAAAAAGCAGGATAATTATGCAACAAGTAAAACACTGCATAATCTCATTATACCATAGATGGGTTTTGACAGTAAGAGTGACAAGAACATTTTGAATTAAAAGTCAACAAAATCAAAATGCATAAAATGAAATACATTTTAACATAATCTTTAACTGCAGCAAGAAATGAGTGAAGTATAAGGCTTAGAAAAATTTACAAATTAATCAGCTCTGTGCATGGAGAACAGAATTCACTTGACAGGATAAAATAATGTAACACAAGTTCCAATATTCTTCCTCTAGTCCAAGCTGCCAATTACTGGAGATAAAGGAAAGATGCAACCCTTTTCTAAATCTATATAATCCACTTTTTCATGTAGACTTTGGACAGCATCCTTCTAGTTCTGTATCCTTTGCTCTCATTTATATTCATACAAAAAGAAAGTGATGATCTTATTAATGGCTTGTAAATTATCATTATTATTTACAAAGCTAGTCAGAGTTAAGCAGGTTACAGCATCAGAAACTACTGAATTTGATAACCAAAACTTAAATACTGCTTAATTTTTAATTTTTTTTAATGGACTGAGATTTGTGTGGTTAAGATTTTCATTTCTTTGGTTGTTTCATTTTATTCTTACAATCGGTTTGAACATTCTACAAAAAAGAAAACATTTTTTGTTTTGTTTTTTGTTTTGTTTTGTTTTTAACCATAACTAAAAGCCAAGTTTCATGCACTGGGATCAATGCTTTTGGGAAAAGAAATTTGCCACACATAGCAAGACAAAAGAGACTTTATAGTACATTTGTAATCCTCAGAATAATTTCTTGTGTCTTAATGGAGTATTGCTACAGCTAGATTTTTGATGTTTGTTTGCTTTTTACTGTCTTTCATCTTTTCAAGAGCAAAATTGCTTTGTATATTTAATTATCTAAACACTTTTACTGAAGTGTTTTATATTCTACATCTTTGCTTAGATTTACAACAATGCACAGTAACTTGTCTTTAAGTCTTTTGCAGAAACTTAATTCTCATTATTGAAAGGACATACCCAAATGCTTTCCTCTTGACGATACTGCTTCCAATTTCGTCCACTGTCACTGAACATCAGAAGGTAGCTTGTTACCCAGTCTGAGCTCCCGTAACCACCTTGAGTAGCAACAGCAGTAATCTCAGTTCTTTCACCAAGATCAATCTGCAGCCATTGATACTTATTGGACACAAGTGGAGACCAGCCACCAGCACCTTAAAAAGAGTGAAAAAGAGTGAAAAGTATTCCTAAAAATAAGCAAGTTAACACAAAACTTGTATATGAAAAATAAATTAGTTCATTTGAGCAACATTATCTAAAGAAAAATGTCCTCCAAGGTTAGTTTTTCAAACTAGATATTGTTAGAAGTCCTTTCCAACTCAAACCATTTGACGATTCTCTGATTCTAATTCAAGATGTAGTTGCATCAAAACTATTTTGGTATTATTTAGCAAGTATTCTGAAAATGTGTTCTAGATTACTAGATATTCATAACCAAGTATAACTATTCTAAATTATTAGCAATTGGTTCACTCCCTTTTCTCTGTCTTGAAGTTCTATAATAAATTTTGTAGACCAAAATTTTTACCAACTAGACTTTTCAAGTAAAAAAATATTAACTTTGTCTTTTTATGTTATGCCTCTCAATTTCATTTTGTGTAGCCTAGTTGATCTCCAGGGATCCTGTCTAATAACCTCAATAATTCTATTCTGTGAGGCCTGGATATATAAATTTGCATATGAAGCAATAAAGCATAGTTAGATGACAAATTTGTACATGCTCCTTAAAATGACCAAGAAATTTGTAAGCAAAATGATAAGAGAGTAGGGGGTATACACATGCAGTTTCAACCACAGGCACACCTGACTGCAAAGAAAACAATTTCACCCAAAGCGTAGAGCTACACCTCCTGTATTTTAACTAATCAGAAAGATATTTAAAATGAAGAAATCATGCAATTCAGTGCTCCTTTGTCTTCCTTTGTTTGTCCTTATTTACTCAGATGTTGCTAGTTTTCCTGTAAGGCTGGGTGGAAAAGGTCAAGGGTAGGTATCAAAAAACCTCATAACAAAAAACATTGGTTTAAGGAGCTACATTGCGAAATATGCAAATATTCAGACACAGCATCTAGTGAGTTTTATCAGAGAATAGTGTGATAAAAATTTAAAAATAAGAATTTCAGATCTAAATCTGGAAACCACAATGTAACGGGCACCTTGGAAAGTTTTTGAAGCATGCATACATATTTATCTAGTCTCCACAACAATCAGTTAGCTACAATCAAATTTTTTGCTCGTATGGATTTCAAGATACAGAAAAATTAATAGCTAAATACTACACGTTGCTTAATTTTGTTTAGTCATGAGTCAAGCGTTTAACATTACCTCCTCTAGGAAAGAAAAAGTAAAAATAATTTTTACTTAGGAATGTGTGATGGATTGGCATTTAAGAAAAAAGTAAGGAACACCCACAGAAGTCAGGGTTTGAGAGAGGCTGCTGGGAGTTTCTTCTTTGCTTGAGACCTGGCCAATAGTTGGCCATTTCTGAGAATTGCCAGTACTGTTCACCACTGAAAAGTGAGATCAACCCTGTGACTACCACGTTTTAAACCGGGAGTTTCTGGCTTGTTTTTGTTTCCGGCTTTGAAAGGTAACAGAACTCCGGCTGGCTCTTGGTCTCCCCCCTGCCAGGCCCATGTGGCCCGGCTGGGGCTGGGCTCAGCCACCCATGGCTCCCGGGCAGGGGATGAAGCCTGCGGGGCTTCCCCCCACCTCCCCCAGCCCCAGGCCAGGCCGGGCTCTGCTGCGGCCCTCCCAGGAAACCTTCCGGGTCCTATTCCAGCGGGTGGCTGGCCTTTCCCAGGCGGGGCCGGGTCCTCCCGTGGCCACGGCCCTGGGCTGGAGCGGGCCACGGCTGGTCGCCCCCACAGACTGCTGCAGACCGAAAACCGTCCGCTGCCTTTCCAGCGCTGCCAAGCTGAAATCCGACACCATGAATACGTGCCGCAGTTTGAGCCAGATTTTAACCCTTTCACTACTCAGATGAGACCTGCAGATTTAATCCTTTTTCCAGAGAGAGGAAAGTGAGAGTGGTCAACATGTAAAGAGACAGCATAAATCATCAAAATCAGTGAAAGAGGGAATCAAGCCTCAGATAGGAAGAGAATGAGGAGATGCTTTAATAAGCTGAAATACTATTTTGATAAGACCATGGAGATGGACAATAAGGTTCTGAATAACTCTTTTAATTCATGAAAGAGTATTTGGGGGGGAATGAAGTATTTCAAAGTATAGATCTGAGCAAAGGTATCCATTGATAAAGCTGAGCAGATGGTGAAGTAGCTGTGATCCCATGAGGTGCTTCAACAGAGAGAGAGAAGTGAGAGTAGATGAAGACCCTTGGCCCCCAGGGAGAAAAAAGAGAAAACCTCTGTTCCCAGAAAAGATCACAGAGATGGATGGAGAGAACCTTTGCCTTTGAATAACTCATCCTTAAAAAAATACCCCTTGAGTTCATGGTCTGCAAACACACCTCTTAGTGGTGTGAAAATGGAAGGAGAGCGTGATGGCAGAGAGTTTTCCTCCTGCGGGACTGCTATCATGGGAATGAAAAGCCATGAGAAAACTTGTTTTCTTGTGGAGAACTCTCCATGGAAAGGGAACTCCTTTCTCTACAAAGAATGATGAAAAGACTACTGTATAGTTAGTACTGTTTTAACCACCAGGTTTTGTCTCTATGTTGTCAGTTGGACAAGGGAATGGTTGGGTGGTGGGGAGGAAGGGTTTCTGGAAGTTTTATTCTGGTTTCTTATTCTTGTAGCTCGGTTAATAAACTTTCTTTATTCCTTTTAGGTTTTGAGCCTGTTTTGCCCTTCTAATCCATATCTCACAGCAAGAGATGAGTAAGTTTTCTGGTGATTTTCTGCTAGTGATTTAAAACCACTACAGGATGTAAAACTGTGACTTAAATATGAAATTGTGAGAAATCATATAGGTATTCATAAATTGCAAAAAGTGAGGTCCATTGTAGAGCTGAGCAGAAAGAACTGAGGGGAAAACATAAAGTCCCATATATGTAACAATTCCTTTGTCCACACATTTGTAAGCTAATTAAAATGTAACATAATTAAAACTCTGGAGTTAAATACTGTGCATTTTTTTCCTCTTTATCTAAATCATTATTAAGAATTTTATATAAATATGTGATTTCATGGCTGCATCTCAATTACTCTCAAGCAGATTCCAAAGCCTATCCTTATGACCACATAATGTTCATGCTGTGCAGAACAGTGTGGTGGCATCACATAAGAAAACTTTGCGAACAATTGGCATGGGAGGTTAAACAAGGGTCCTTGCACCCATAGGCAGAGTGGTCCACTTTTACATCATATACTATATCTGTGACACATGCCACACAAGACTTGAGTGACAGCTTAACTTCCAAAATCTCAGTTCATGCACAAACACTTATAACAACATTCTGCCAAGCTGTGTTATCCAAAATTTTCTTGGAATTATATGTAACCATGCTAAGTTTGATGACATTTTTGAACTTTATACTTGAAAGGTAGGGTTGAATTGTAGTCAACAGGAGTAGTCTGGCAGACTCTACTGAGTACATAATCTATAAATTCCTTCTGAGAGAAAACATTTTCACTTGGTGACTGCAGAACTTTATTCAGAATGAAGTAATGGAAGTTAGAGGAATGTCAAAAAACAAGCCTGAAAAGGTGTCTGTTATGGCAGATTGGTGCTAGCCTGAGGTAAGCACTGTCTTTAGTACTGTGATTTCCAGAAATTTTTGCAAGGCATGCCACAAGGTAGTCCCCTTATCATGCTGCACTACATCCAGAAAAGAAAGAAGAGGAAGAGACACAAATACACAGTGTTCTAATGTCAGGGCTATTTGATTTGAGGGATTACAGTAAGAATGCAGTCACAGAAGTCATCTATTATCCCAGTACTGACCAATGCAACCTAAGTCCCATAAAAAACCACCAACCAGAAGCAGCATGGTATCTCTAACAGCCTATATTAAGCCATAGTCTGGACCACCAGGCAGAAGCTGTAACATGTTTCCTGAAACACCATGACACTGGTTCACATGATGCTGTCAATCTGTCAAAGGCTCTTCATGAGCTCGCCTGTCTGACTGTCCAGCAGGCAGGTGTCCTGCCAGTATCTGACTGCCACCTGAAACATCACAGACATGAAATGTTTGTCCAGTCCTGCAGGAAACACAAGTAGAGCATGTCAGCTTCTCACCCAGGACTCTTTACAGTGTGTCCTTGTCTTGCAGCAAGATTAATGAGTGTACCAAACCGTAGTTGCTTTTGGCTGTAGCATACATCTGGGCATGGTGATGCACAGAAGCTGGATGCATAACAGATGTCAAAAGGAACTTGTTTGTCAGATTTCATGCTGCATGGTGTGGATGTTTTTGGGAAGATCTGGAGAGGTCTTAAAGAGCTTCTGACAGGGATGCAGATACCATGTATATTAAACAAGTGAGAAAATGCATGGACACACCGGGATAGCTGAAGATTTACAAGAATATAATTTTGTCATCTCTAAACTTCCTGAATTATAGATTTTGAAGTCTTCACCTTACTTCTGTCTTTCTTTTGTCTGACTTTTATGACTTTTATGTACAGCATATGTTTTCTTCAATTACATCTGAATATATGTTCTACTGTGACTGATGAAACATCTTCTGTTGCAAACTAAAAGCAAATCATAAAAATAATTTTAAAGGGAGAAAACCTGTATATAGAGTTCCTTTTTTTCAACTTTATCTCAGGGGGGTTTTAACTCTTTTTATTTTCCACTCTCATGCCAATATTGAGATTATTTGTATGCAACATACCAAAAATCTACATTCAAGCTACCCAGGCATGCAAGATCCATGCTTCATTTCTGTTAAAAATCCCAAGCATCACACAGTTCCTTTTTATGAAGAACATGATGACTTGAAGTTGAACACACATATGATACAGAAAAATGATGTATTTTCATATCACTTATTGCTCCTACTATATTTTTTAAATACCAGGGCTTGTAAAATGTTTGTACACATGTGATGTAATTTCTTAAAATACATTAGTTTACTGAACACATTTAGCAATACTTTTTCTGAAGTACTAACTTCTTTTCTTAACTCATGAATTTCTGTCTTTCAATTCCATTTTAGTAAGAATGTGCCAGCTTTACTTGA